GCACCGTTCAATCCATCATCTTTAAATGGTAAGATCACAGCACAACTATTTATTTACTATGGAAAGGAGACGGCTCAGAAGTAATCTGTTGACAGGATAACTACAAGTCGCACACACGACGAAGAAGATTCCCTCTTCACAGGAGGTCAACGTTAAATGTTTTTGCACACATTTTAGAGAACTGTATATCACAAAAACATCCACCTGGAAGCACAGTGGTGATGGCTGCATAGTTCAGGATGATTTTCTTTAGAAGAGACATGAAAGTTTGTTGGGGCTAAATACTAGATAATGCTTGAAGAAAACGTGTTGGAAACTCCAAAAGACGTCAGACTCTGTGAAAGCATCCAAAACACAGAGGCAGAGTTACGACGCAGCAGTGTTGATCAAATCATATTTATGTGTTGGAACAACCCAGTCAAAGTCTGGACCCAAATCCAAGTCTGTGCTGGGCTTGGGTTTGTTGCTGTTCTCTCTCTGTCTAATGACTGGGCTTGAGCTATTTACAAAGAAAATAGGGGAAAAAATTATCCTGATATTCAAAGCTGGTAGAGACAAATCCCAAAAGACATTGCTTTTTTTTTTTTTTAAAGCAAAAGTTGGTTTGGAAAGTATTGGCCCAGGGAGGTTGAATAAAAATGCAGATATTTATTTGTGGTTCTAGGCAAATGTGTACTTTCTCAAGTTAATGTCAGAGTAAAATTCCCCATGAACATCGAGGCATAAGACCTCTCTGCAGAAAAATGTTCAGATGTTACTGCTTCCACAGGCTTGCCTTCTTCCTACGATGCACTGCGCTCCCATTTTTTTTCTTTCCCAGGTAAACACGAGTGCAGCCTTCCACATGATGTAAAACAAAACATGACTCATACGATCAGATCACCTCCTTCTGTTGTTCCCTGATGCAAAGGGGTTTGTTTTTGCTCTTAAACCTTCAGTTCTTGAGCTTCCTAGATTTCAATCATGTTTCTTTCTTTTATTCGCAGAAGGAAGTAAATCGATTTGAGCTTCAAAGAGCAGTGATGAGGTAGAATCTGACTTCCGGTTGCTTGCAATGCAAATAACGTTCGGAATGACGCAGACAGGAACTGACTGCTGTTTTTAATTAGTTGAAACTAACACGGGGAAATATAGAAAATAAATTAAAAAGATGTGTGATTTTTGCAGCTGAATTAAATGTGCAATTTCTTTTGAATTGTGGCGAAAATGCTGTTTATTGACATGTAATTAAAAGCACCGAACTGAAGTGAAAGTGCTTTAAATTTCCCCCTCTCTCAGTCCCTGGGTAAATGTACTTTTTCACCACTGCTGTCTCTTTGTGGCTCTGCGTCTCTTTCTGCAGACACTTTCCAATCTCTTCTCTCTATATTCAATTTTGTTCTTTTATTCCCTCATCGGCGCAACCCCATTCCCTCTGCTTCGTCTTTTTTTCCCACCTACCGACTTCTTTCACAGCTTTCCATCTCCTTCCACCTTCCACCCGTTGTCTTTCTCTCCTGGGAGTAAAGATACTCTAATCCTCTCTGTCTAATGCTGTCAATAGCTCTCAATAACAATGAAATAGCACCGATTCCATCCCGTCGCTGATGAAGCCATAGCCTTAGTTTGGATCTTATTCGTCATCATGGCAATCTGCCTCCTGGTAATAGCCAATCAGATGGCTCCTGCGAAACGCAGTGCTCCCATGATAGGCTCCCCATTGTTTTGATTGACTGCACCTGAGGGCCCACCACTTCAGCTGGGGCTCGATCAATAACCCATCACAAACACACACACATACACACACACAGTGGGCAGGCACAGGCTCATGCATGCCCTGCAATAAACACCCAGGTACGAGCACAACAAAGACACGCACACACACACTTTGTTGGGGAGCAAATTGAGAAAGAAACCACTGGTATGGGAAGCAAACAGAATACTTCAGCAAGAGTCATCAAAGTGACAGCAGTTATCTTGTGGCGCGGTCCGAATAAGCAGCCGCTGCATAACCATAATAAACAAACATGCAAATGAGATGACAGCTTTGCGTATGTGGCGACAAGATTTTCATTTGCCTTTATTGGCGGCTTTACAGTAACACGTTGGAGTTAAACGAGAAAGATGTATGGATTACAATAAAAGCGCAAATGACTCCCACTGTGCGCCTGCTATCCTATGTTGTGTCACAGATACAGATGGCTCCACATAAGCCCTGCCTCGGTTCGCTCTGAGCCCTGGAAGCCGTAATGAGAGAATGGCCATCTGCACTGGATGGTGTGTTCATTAGTATCACAAACGTGCTGAAGCGCACATTTTGGTCACCGTTTGAGAGACCCGTCAGAGGTGCAGAAGATGGAGTCGAACGATAGATTTTTGTGGAGTTTAAACATCACCGTTCAGCAAGAGTTGGAGATAATGTGAATCTTTAAAAGTGAAAGAAGCAGCTACTATTGAAGGTGAGATATTTTGCCTTGAAAATAGCTACAGATTTTTTTGGGCTAAGACACGTGTCAAACTGAAGGCCCACGGGCCAAATCTGGCCCACCGTAGCCATTTATGTGGCCCACTAAACTCAACATGAATAAAACTTTAAACTTTTGTGTGTTTAAATATTTTGTCAGTCAAATCAAATTAACACCGTTTTACGTTGATGTAATTTGGGACTGTTCCCATAAAAAACAATATACTGAAAGAAAGCTGTTTATTAGTAAGTAGTTGCCACAACCGGCTTTTTAATGGCATCCATGATCTTCATGTGGCCTGAAATGAAAATGACTTTGACACATCTGGGCTTTGATGTTCATGTCCAGAAACTGAAAACAGCTCAGACTCTGTCACGTTCCACAAATACTGTAAGTGAGCATCACTGTTCAAAGTTTGCACCAGATTCTCAGTTAAATTTAGACCTGAAATTTGACTAGGCCACATATTATGCTTTTAATTAATTACTAGGTCTTTTTATTATTATTTAGACCAGAAGTTTTAGTTTTGGTCATATCTGAACAGAGCACACTGATATATTTCCACCATCCTCTAAAATAATTGTGACATACAAAAGTTTAGAAAGTTGAAAATGAGATAAACAAAGTGAAAGTAGCTAAAACAATTAGAGGTTTAGATGTAATTACAACTTCAAGTGTTTTGGAATCATTTGTAAGAATTACTTAAGAAGGGACATTGTTGCCATATCTTCTTTGTACATTCATTTAAAGTTGGGTTATTATGCAAATTTGACTTTTTTTGAGGTTCATATTATGTTATTGTGGAACTCCCTCTTCAAGGACATTATCAGTGTTGCTTTTACTCATTCCTGGATGTCTACAAAATCCTTAAAGTTTCCATGGCAGTCATTAGGAGGTACCTTAACGCTTGCTATTTCCGCAAAACTGCACCTAGGAATTTCAGTCCCCAGCCAGCCGAGTTCCCCGACCCACAGCGCATCCCTTTCCTGCACTCCCTCCACTCAGCTCCTCCAGACTAGCGGCAGCAGCAATTAGCAAACACCTGGTGGAACTGCGAGTCCGCTGAGCTTATCATACAAAAGTCACTCCTTAGAATGATTGTAAACTACATCAATGGACAACACGGAGAAGCATTGTTGTGTTTGATGTACTGAAGGCTGTGCTGGAAAGTGTAGGAGGTTCTTGGAGAGACAGAGTTTCAAGATGTCTGATACGGCTATACTGCAATGTCAAATTTTCTGTCAAGTTTTTCATCTGTACAGCATTTCCATAACATCTGAAGGTAAAATAGCTACTTGACTGCCATAAAATGGCACTATGCGCCTATTAAATACTTACAGCTGCCTTTCAAGCTAACACAGTATGGATAGAGAGAGTGCCTTTGAACAGCTCATTTCAAGTCTTGCCATAGATTCTCAAATGGATTTAGGTCTGGACTTCTATGAGGACTTTCAGCATCATGTTGTACTCATAATACAAAACATCTTTCATCTTGGTTACACAGTTACATTTTCATCTCATTTTACCAGTGCACCATCTTAATATTGTGTCCCCTTTTGGGTAGACAAACAAAGATTAGATAGATGGCAGATGAAGGATTTTCTAGTGAAGGTGGCCATCAAGCTCAAGGATGGACGGTGGAGGGATGTTAGATCCATAACGTCAGCATGAAGCCACATTTTCTGTGCGTTTGATTTATCTGAGAGTGAAGGTACATCCTCTCATCAGGGTCAGCAGCTGACTGCTGTTTACAACAACACGGATCAAGTGGAGGTCCTGAACGCAGCGTTTCAAGAGTCTGTCAGCACCGTGTAAAGCTCAGAAACACCCCTCCCTCAATTTCCTCTGTCTTCGTCTGTCTCTTCCTCTCTCCAACTCTTCAACACAACCTTGTCATGTTGTCAGTCAGAGCAAGGATTTGTCATTCCTGGAGACTGTTGCTTAGCACCACTGGAGATCCTCTGAACTCCCTTTGTGCTCTTCTGTGCGTGTTTGTGTGTCGTTTTGAAGTTGGCGGCTCGAGGTTAGGGTATAGCAGCCATGTTAGTGGATACGGATGAGTGTTGTGTACTGTACAGCCAGCCAGCTCAGAGCTCTTGTATTTACACTTATTATTCTGATTCTAGTACTCGCTTATCGTGTATGTCGATCTGTTTTCATGCCTGTTTGTGTTGCGTATACACAAATGTGTGTGAATACGCAGAACGTGTGTGTGTGCGTGCGTTGTGATGTTTTGTTTGAAAAGCCTCCGGAGATCCTCTGGTAGGCTGAATCCTGTCACATCTAAACAGCCGACTTTCCACAGGAGACGTGAATACAGTTGTGTTCTGTATTTTGTTATTAGACAAGCTGTATGCACGGGAACCAGGCTGCTGGTGCGATATGACAAGAAACATCTTCATAACTGACTTTGAAAGTGCATTGTATGGGTTGTGAAAGCGCAGGTGCTCCCACTACCTCGGAATATGACAGTGCAAAGTGGCGATAAGGTGTATGATGACAATTTAAAGGAAGAGTGGGACTTTGTGTCGACTAACACGCTCTCCAATCCCACAGGTGTTGGTGCAGGCAGCCAGCAGACCGTTCTCCATGAGGAGCAGTAGAAGATGCCGGCTCTGCCAGCACTGCTGCTGTCAATACGCTTCCTCTCCTTCCTGCTAGTCACGATGCCACCACTCTCCCTCAGTCAGGCCCCTCTGCTCTCCTCTGTCCGCATGGGTGAGTAGACGCTACACAGGTCGAAAGGCTTCTGAACAAACTTTACATCTGTTTGTTTCATTCATTCACAAATCAGTTGTTTCACCTTGGAGAGGGTGAGGATCTTAAACAAACGGGTCGATATTCCTTAGTGGAAATACCACGATTTCACGGTAAAAACAAAACTAATCAGGATCAAATAGCCTTCATATAAAGAAAAGAAACAAAAGCTTTTAGTTTTTTTCTGCTGCTGCTGCTGCTGTTGAAACAGCAAAACACTGGTTATTACAGCTAAAATGTTTGCTTTATAATTCATATTTTATGATTTTAAACTTAACATGAAGTCTGGAAAATTTATAGAATAACCATTAGCTAAATATCTGAATTAGTTTTTCTTGTAAGCTGGGAAATAAATAGCAACATCCTTTCAGACAGCTGCATGGCAGTGCACAGAAAAGGTTGGGGAAGGAAACTCTAACTTTAACTCTGTTTTACTTTTAAAACAGTTGCATTTAAAACCAATACCATATATTCATATGTACAACCTGGCCTTTGCCCAGATTGAACAAATCAACTGCAAGGTGATATAAATGTAAAAGTTGGTTCTGTTATAATAGACCACAGGTACGTAGTTTAGCTGGTCAAATCCTCTGAAAATCAGCTCTTTGACCTGAGTTCAACTGCAGACAAATCATTTATGCAAAAAGATTATTCTCACCACAAATGGACCAAGCGTTTCCTGATGATCAACATGTCAGATTTGACTCTGGAATCACTCTGCTCAGTGATCGGCCCATTGAAATCTGTAAAAATGTTACCCACTCTTTGAAGGTTTTAGCTGAAAAAACAATTTCCTTTAATGAGGAAGGTCACACTCAGGGAATAAGACTCTGTTAACTATTTTACATATTAGTGGGGTTTTAAACAGAAGCCCAAAAGAAGCTATTTAAAAAAGGAACAGCATTTATCAAGTGTTCATGTCATCTTTGTGTTTAATCTGCTACTTTTAAACAAAGGAAAAGGTTTCCACAAATAACAAGAAGCTATGAAGCAATTTTGCTTGATTTTGTTCTTTTACAGTTTAATTTTGTGTCATGAATCCAGAAATGTTTCCTGGCCTCAGAAATCTCAGTTAAGCTTGAACTCTACAGAAAATCTTGATGCTTACAGTTAGTAGTCTGACAGCACCAATTGAGCTAATTGTACATTAGCATCTGCTAATATTAAATCCTCAAGGCAGCTGAAAATGTCAGTGGTGTTAACAGTGTCTTTGTTTAGCAGTAATATTGAAGCCTGTTTTTCTGCAGAGCGGTGTAACCCCGACTGCTCTCTCACACATCATGAGACCTCATCTCTATTCTAAATAATTATTGACTGATTTGGAAAATGAGGCTCCTTTAAGTTCATTTAGAGTTGCAATAATTGATTTAACGATCCAGCACCAGACTGAAGCTGTCTTTTCAGACGATAAGCTTGAGACAGTAGTAGTAAATATCTTTTATTTTGCTTTTTGAAATTCAATGATCCAGAAAGAATCGGCTCTGTAACTTGGAGTTGATTGTAATAAAATTATCTTATTTAAAAAAGAAAAAAGGCCATCCAAAATCAGTGCTTAACAAAATCAGACATTAGTCAAACTAATCTCTGACTGGTACAAATCTAGTTATCAAAGCTGCAAATGTCTCCAATCTAAGCTCCACTTTCCATTCATCTGACAGCAGCTAAATGTGCTCATTTCATGTTTAAACGAGTCTTATGGTGTAAGATTTTGCAGTAGAAACCCGACAAGGTCAGACTCATAACTTTGGTCTGAACACTGCACTAATTTGAACTGCAGCTCACACATTAATGGACAGTCATGCACAGTGGAAGTAGGCTAATTTGGCTCATGAACAGCTGCTTGGAGCAATCTGAAAGATTACATCATTAAATAGATAAATAGCAGTTCTGTGTTAATGTTCTGGCTTCATAATTCTCCTATAACAATTAGCACCTAAATGTTTTCCACTGTGTCTGAGCAAATCAAGCAAGAGAAACTGTTTCACAATGTCGGAAATGGTTTGTGTCTGATTATTCAGCAGAATTTACACTACTGCTGTTCATTTTGTCTGAAAATTGCAGCATATTTATCAGGCTGATGCAATTTTCTTTGGAAATGTGAAGTGCTTTTATTATAGAAGTGATTCTCAAAAAAGGCTTTCAGAGTTTTGAAATGCGTTGGGTACCCTCATCTGCAGCTGCGTTGACAGGGAGGACAGCGCCTTTAGCTAAAGCAAACTAGCACTGAAAACAACTCGTTTCATTGTTCAGGTAAAATAAAAAAAAAACATGGCAATTAGTCTGCTGTGTTGCATGCCTGAAGTGTGTGAAACTAATGAGCAAGACTGAGAAAACCAAGGGATTCTTCATGAACAATGATCAAACCACTGGGTGAGCAAAACACAGAAGGAATAAAAGAGAATCACGAAAATCTGGCAATGACTAAACAAACCTAAGGAGTGTTGTACGCCGACATGCTGCTGCGGTGTGTGCTGTAATCTCTGAACAGAGGAGCCAAAATGAAAATCATGACATTATGCACAGACAACCCACACACCATGCTGCTGGTGTGAAGCTGGCTTTACTGTCTAATCCTGTGTGAATGGCAAATATTGCTCACAGGTTTTTGCCTTTTTCCCCCCCGTCCCCGGGGCCTGAATGAATGATGCCCATGCGTAAAAAGGAAGTGACCGGTGTTCGAAGGACTTAATGGAGATCAATGGAGCCGTAAGAGTTACACACCTCATGTAGGACAACGGCTGCAGAGACCAGCAACAAGGAAGTAAAGGAAGCAGAGAATAGTCTGCTTTGATGTTACAATCTAGTTTAACTTCCCTGCAAAAACAGAAAAACATGCAACACATCATAACATGTTATCAAAAGCACAAAGGTAAGGATCTCAATACTAATAATCAGTTTGTAAAACATAAGCACATGTGGCAAACTTCAACCTTTCATGAATAAAAATTTCAAAAGTATATGTTTGTATTCTATTCCCCTCTGTTAATATTTTATAGACCCGCCAACTGCAGCCAGGAATCATTTTCAGAAGGTTTCGCACACATTCTTGCCCATAAATCTTTGCAAAACAACTGAAGCTCAGTCAGACTAGATGGAAAACATGTTTAAACATACAATTTCAAGTCTTGCCACATGTGCTCATTTCGATTTGGGTCTGGACTTTGACTAGGTCATTCTAAAACATGATTATGCTTTGAACAGCTGTCAGTTGTTCAAAGTTTTTGAACAGCTGACAGGAGTTCTTCCAGGATAGGTTAGTAATTTCCTTGATCTGTTCTTCTATTCAAAATTCTTTTGTTTTTAATCAAAATGCTTTGTCACCTTTTTGTTACTCCCTTCTCCATCTCCCTGTCAACGCTTAGCTGAAAAATAAAACCTTCCCCGCAGCATGATGCTGTCCTCTCATTTCTCACCACATGCAGAAGAAGAGGTCCATTACTAATTTTCTGGAACAAATAGCATTTTGAATGCAGGCCAATCATCTAATCATAGGACATTTATCTCCACTACACGGCTTGTGGCAAAATACAAACAGACGTTCTCATGTTTTTCTGAAATCATGCAGTTTACTTCTGATTTCAAATGATGTGATCGTGAAAACAGTTGGCTGCACTAGATTTTAGGGTATCAGAGTAAAGAAGGCTGAATGCAAATATATACCACGTTTTTTTTTTAGAGCTTTATTTGTTCAAACTCAACATTTATCTCTGCTTTGTTTCAGTCTATGTTACGGAAGCGCATTGCTATCACGCAGGAAAAAATTTTTTTCGAGCGCTATCACGT